TGCTAAATGAGTCCCATTCCAGGGCTGTTTTCAAACACATGTCCCGCAGTGCCAGTGCCACTAATCATCATGATTCCGGCATAAAGTGGAGAAGACTCAACCCCTGAGCTTTGACTGTGGGCTGCACAGAGGCAGCTCAACAGGCTGAGAGAGGCAGAGGTGCCCGCTGGGAACCAAGATTAACCAAGGAGCCACAGGACGTGGGGGTGGACACTTGAGGGGAAGCATGAGAGCAGGTGAGAACTGCACAGCCTTCCCATCAATCCAGGGCTTTCAAGGGAAAGAAGCTCCTTTGGGTCAGATACCACCAAGGCACGGCCAAAATCAGGGGAGAATCCTCAGCACGGGAAAATTCCCACCATCTTGCAAATCCAAGGTGGTGAATCTGGATGTGCCACAGCTGATGCTTCCTCTGCTGTAAACCATGGGGGTTACACCACTCTCCTCTTCTTCTAGCACAGTGTTAAAGAGCCACATCCCAGCACTTACCTTGTCTCTGTTCCTCAGAAGCAGGGGCATTTCGCAGACCTTGCCAAGGACATAGTTCTGAAACACCAGCTCGGATGGGCAAGGCTCAAGCAAGGTCTTGTTCCGGCCAAGTGATGAGAACTGGAGAGGCAAGAGAGAGCAGGGAGAGGTTCAGCTGCTGGGAGGAAGGTTTGTGAAGGACTCTCCTCTGTTGATCCCCAGTGAAGTACAGGCTCTTGGTGACTAGGTCTGCCCAGCTGCCACGGGGGGAACAGTAGCTCATCAACCTCTTCTCTGAGCTGATCAAAAGCTGCTGGACCCCACTGAGCCCAGCAGCTCTTTTGGCAGGAGTTTCTCCAGCTTTCCTTCCCCAAAATGCCAGGCAGCACTTGCCTCCAGCACAGCCCTGTGCTAATGGGGTCCCAGAGCTCTGGGCACTCACTGAGCACTCAAGCAGTAAGTGAAACTCAAGAATTTACATCAGACTCCATAGGAAACAATTTTTGGATGACCTTTACCCTGAGGCAGGGAGACTGAGGCCCACACAACTCCAGACTCTAGAGCTTAGACACCAGTAAGAGAACAGCACCAGAGGAGGTTAAGGGCAAAAAGAAAGTGCCACAGTAGACAGGAATAGGACAAATGAGGTGAGTGCTGGGTGAGGATAAGGTTCAGCTCTTTTCTCAGCAGTGCTGGGCAACTCGAGTAAGACTGGAGTGGTGTTAAATTGGGAGTAATTACCTCAGGCCCTCAGCCTTCAAAGGCCAGCACTGCCACTGTGCAGGGAGTCCTATGACCCCCAGCATTGGTCAGTGACGACACCAGAGCAAGAGGTGGCTCTTTCAGTGGGACAATGGAAAATGGCAGCTGGTGCCCTTGTGTCCTGCCCCAGCCTTCCCCCACTGTTGTGCCTTCGCCATGGTAGCTAAACTCCAGCAAACCCCACCAGCTCCAGCAGAAATTATTTGTGTTGGCTTAGCACAGATCAGGACTCCAGCATCTCACTAGGAGAAAATGTTTTGCCTTTGTCCCAGCAGAAGGAACTCAACCACCACCAGCAGTTTGGATTGACAACAGGACCTGGACACTGAGGTGTTTCAATAAGCTGGAGGCAAGACATGCAGCCTCTTCAAATGTCACATCAAACAGCAAGGAAAAGGGCAGGAAAAGGCTACCTTGTACTTGGACTTCTCACTCATGCCTGGTTGCCGGGCAATCTTGGGCAGCTTTGTCTCCTGAGGGCTGTCCAGCCCCTTCCTGAGCCTGAGACCAACCTCCCTGAAGTCAAAGATGGTCAGCTGAAAGGCAAAAAAACCAGCAAGAGCCTCAGAAATGCCCTTGTTCAGAAAGGCTTTTCTTGTTCAAGTGGCTCTGATGAATCATTTGTGATCACAGCCACCAGAACAGTCCTGGAGGTCCTGGAAGTTACCTGCTGAAATATTTAACATCAGAAAATTAATGGTATAGAGCAGAACGCACTTGCTCTAACCAGGCGGCTCTGCCTCATTAGCTTCTCCGTGATTTGATGTGACACGTGTGGGGATTTCTGCTCTTGGGGCATTTGCGTCCTCTTTACTTCCACTGGATTGAGCCAGTGACCTTTGCAGAGAGTGGCAAACTGCCCTAACTCCATCCCTGCCTGAGGCTCACAACCCCCTGCATGTGAAGATGTCACTGCTGGCTGAGTGTGAGGGAAGCAGAAGAGCGGTGTTGTGCCAAGACCGAGGTGCAGAGGAATAGGTCCAGAGTTCTCTCTTTGTAATGAGCACGGGTTTTCTTTCTGCCTGGCCTCACAGTCCCATCCACAGAAGAATATAGAGAGATGTCCCTAACAGAGCCTCAGCACTGGGTCACCTCCAGTCAAGTGAGCTTCAGGCAGCAAAGGGGACATTTGCGGGTGGGAAGGAGGAGTTGCCCCAATTCCACTGCTGCCTGCAGGGCTGGATCTGTGCTCCATACAGGAGAGGAGATGGAACAACTGGTTAGGAACCTGTTCCAGGGAGGACCAGCCATGTCTCTCAAGGCTTCAGGCAGCGTTTGAGCCACCCACCACATGCCCAGGTGCCTGGAGGGCAGGTGTGGTCAGAGCAGCACAGTGAGTGTGCCAACCTGACAGGAGGAATTCCTGCCCACACACAGGGGACAGAAAGAAGCGCAAGCTCATGTTCAGCTTTACATTTGTTTAACTTGGCTCCAGTGGCACAGCCAGGCAAGACTCTGGACTGTCCCTGACGCACCATGACAGCCCTTGCCAACAGAAGCACGGCCCGAAGAGCTGGGGAGGGGGTCTGTAGCTTCACGGTGCTGCTGGACAGCAGGAGGGGCTGGGAGAAGAGGGACATGGGAGGAGTTTCCAGCCTTAACACAGCTCCTGGCCACAGCAGGTACTTACACGCTTGGGCTTCTCAGGCTCTCTCGGCCTTAGAGGACGAGCTAGCACCTCTCTCTTCGGGAATCCAGAAGCCATTCTGAAGGATGTTGTGGGTGGATAAGTCGTACCAGTGACCGTGTCTCAACTCAGCTGGAAGGAACAAGAATGGAATGCTGAAAATCCAGAATCCCATTCCTGGCAGACCCAAAAGATACAGTGGTGCTGTGAATTTTATATTATTTGAAAGTAGCTAAGTGCTTGTTTGGCATAAGTAGCCAGAATTGTTAGGCTGGAAGTTGGACTTTATTTGAACTCTATGGCTATGTTGTGTAATTCAAAGATGGATCAGAGTGAAACCTGGAGCTAACGTTCTGAACATTAATAATAGTTAGAAGAGACAAAGCTGTAGCTTAAATATTACTTAAAAATTAATAGCTAGAGTGAACAGCCCATAGCTGGTGGTATAGGATCTGCAACAACCTCCTCTTCTCCAGGCCAACCAAGCCCAACTCCCTCAGCCACTCCTCACAGGACTTACCTGTAGAGTCTGCAGCAGCTGTGTTCCCCCTCCCTGGACCAAGTCCAGGGAGGGAGAATCTTTACTGCAGTGAAGGTCTCAGAACCAGACACAGTACTTTTGCCTGTTGAGAAACACAAATGGATTTGATGTGATTATTTCACTGAACCCAAGGGCAACTTTTGATAGGTCCTTTGTACACGTAAATATAGATGTTCCCATCTCTGTGCCTGCGTGTGTGTGAATTAATCATGGTCTATGTAGTAAGCAACAGTGAACCTTGCCATCAAACTCTGCTAGGTCACTGAGGAGACACCATTAAAGGGACGTGAGCCATTAGAAACGCAACATAGGGGGGAGCAGGACCACGTCAGACTTTATCCTAGTGGCAGTTCTTCTCCAGTATCCTTATCCTACAAGAAGCTAAGGGTAAACAATCACCAGCCTGACAACCACCTCTCTTTGTTTGTGTCATACAAAGTTGGTGTGCAAGAAAGGGCAAGAAGAGAAGACAACTCCAGAAAGTGGGTCTCAAACGTGAACATTTACTTTGGACTAGAAACACGAGAATACGACACTGTCTTATGGACACCAGGACATGCTGCAGCAAGAGCTAGGATTTAAAGCTGGAAATTACCTTTTAATGGGGAATGGGACATTAATCTGGATTTCAGTGATTTATTACTTGGTCTTGAGAATAACTGGATTACTTGTGCCAGTTTTCTAACTGCAGTTTCACTTCACTTCAAATGAAGCCTGTCCATCATGCCCACACTGCTGTTCACAGAGGGCTTCCACTCTCCACGCCCCCATCCAGGCTAGCAGCTTCCCCTACCCTCTAGCCCTGGCGTGATGCTCTTCCATAGCCCCACGGTTCCACTTCCATAAAGGCTACAGGGATCTGCCTCCCAGACTCAGGGGAAGGAGCAGAACTGAGAAATCAGCCCCATCTCTCTGCAGGGACAGGATAAAGCACAGCTCCAGCCCACCACTGCTGTCCTGTGGGGGGAAATCTTCACCTTCCCCACCTCAGACAGCCCTTTACCCAGCCCACAAGTTAAGGGAGGATCTTAATCCCCCCTCTGCTCCAGGTTCAGGGCACAGACAGCTCTGGCCCCTCAGCTTTGTGTTCAGAGCACGAATGGCCTGAGCCTGGGCAGAGGAACCAGCTATGCCAGGACACAGCAGCTGAGGCCACCTAGGAAAGCAATGAAGAAATATGCCCAGGGCTGGGGAACAATTCCTGACATGTCTCAGGAAACCCAGGTCTATCACTGCAGGGTGTCAAGATGAACATCATCAAGGACATCGCAGCTTTACATTCCAATAAAGGACACGAGTGATCTTCAAAGACAATTTTCTGCAAGGGCTCAGTTGGTAAAGGACCCGTTAAACGGCAATTCGCTGCCGTTCAACGAATTGCAAGACTGACTTTTCGGAGAGTCAATCTCTCCAAGGATTCGCTTGGTAAAACGCTTAAGTGTCGCAGGGAACAGGGCAGGGTGAAAGGGAATCGGGAACTGAGGCTGTTGCGTCGCCAGCACCAAC